ACTCAACAGCCCTGCTATTCTTGTGTATTCTTAGCTGTTCTTGTTTGTAGCCTTTACATTTAACTTTGATATTTGCATTTAAAGAAATTCACAGCTGAAGCCAAGGTATGATATTAAAGCTGATGCTCTTTGCCATGTTGCCTCCACACAGCAGTTATGGACAACAAATCCACTGCAACTTGTTCTTTATAACAATAGATCTTAAAGCATTACAGGCTTTTAGTCTTCTTTAATGTAGCATTAGGTCATCACTTCTATTTGTAACTTGAGCAGAATAAGAAAACTCTCGGGTAAATGAAGAGAAATAGTGAAATATTTCAGGCTGCTGCTGCTATTGAGAGACTAACTATCTTTGTGCTGTGCATACCATTTGCACAACATATTTAGCAGAGGGATTGGCAAATCTTGACTCGTCAAGCCAGTTGATGCAGTTAGAATACAAAGATCTGTTTATGGATTCAGAGATCTTTACCAAAGCTGATTTTGGAAAGCAGTGAAAATAACTTTTTTAAGTGCTGAAAATTCATGCTTTTATCTAGAAAATGTTTGCTGAGATGGAAAAAGTGGTCCTTCTGCTGCCCATTGTATGTTTGGCTGTGAGAGCTTTTAAAAAATTCTCATTTAGGTCATTTTTCAGTCATGGGAGTTTTAAGGAAACCAAACCAAGAATGTAATAGCTTATATGCTTGATGACCCTGCCTAGGTGAAGTGATATTAAAATTAGCTGGTTGATCTACATTTATTCATCAGTCTCTAATGTCCTAGGATCTCCTGGGAAACCCAAAGAACTGAATGCAACATACACGTTAATTTAACAACTTTCCAAAACAAATCAGATAGTAGATTGGGATGGAGAGGGAAGACATAAAAAAGAAGCAGATATGAAAGCTGCAGCACTGAGGGGCCCAAGGAAATAAAATGGTTGAATTGCTACCTTTTTGCCTATTGCCCTGAAGCAAAAAATCTCTCTTAGCAAACTAAAGCTCCAAGTCAGGCAAACTTACCTATCTCAAAAAGTGCTCTTTAGAGGCCCAGTTAAATGCCAAGCATGTGCATAGTGTTCCTGTTATCAAGTGCTTTCCTGAGTTGGGACCTACAATTTTAAATATTCTAAATATTCTAAATATTCCCAATTCCAGATACAAGAAGTAAATCAGAAGGGGCTGCAGGGCTTTGCAGTAGCAATGCTCAGGTGGCAGTGAGAGTTATGAAGGAAGTAAAGGAATCCAAGTAGTTATGATACCTGCAAGAGAAGGAGAACAAGCCATGGAAAAAATAACTGGGCACACTGCCCGTTTTGAAGAAGAGCTTTGAAATAAAAATACAAAGAACTGTGGAACAGTGCTTCAGCACTGACAATCCATTGACGGGCCCATGACAGGGGTGCCTGAGGGCTCAGAGAAACTGATCTGCAGGTGTGCACACCAGATGGTTGCAAATACATCCCTGGCAGGGTGGTCCTGATACAGGAGCTGGCTGAGCCTCTCCAAGGTGGTAGCAATGCACGTCCTTATTTCCAGTGAGACTCACACATAATACTAAGCACAGGAGGAGGTCCTGAGAAGGATCGACACGTCTCGATTATTTGCCTGGTCAAACAACAATGTTAGCAATGACGACGATATTAAATTCTCCTTGTTGTTGTTTGTCTTACAATTATTTAGTCCTCTTCCTCATTAATAATGTACATCATGTTATGTGCCCAGGGTGCACTTCGCATTGTCAGAAAAGACCCTGCTAAGATGTCCCGGGCTTACCAGGGTGTGCAGGCACAACTCCTCAGACAGCCTAGGGACTCAAAGCTATTCATTTCTGCAAGGCCAGACCAACACTGGGTCAAACAGGTCTGTTTATTTCTTACCATAGCTTACCAAGAAATGGTAATTAGCAAACAGCAAAATCCTAGTAAAGAAAAAAAGCATAGTTTGTGGTCTTCGTATGTTAACAAATCATAATAAATGAGTGAGCAAAGCACGCAAGTTTTCACCTGAAGACCTATATTAATCTATCACAGCTTAGGTTTCTCTCTATTAAGAGGAACTAGTTGTCCAAGTGACGTTAGATAATGCAAGTCAGTCAGTACCTAGCAAAAAGCTACCTCTTCTAGTGAGGATGTGACCTGAGAATTAGCAAGATTTAACCTGTGTCTTTGTCAAAAAAATATGTATTTTAACCATTGCTACTCTTGTTAATATTAACTGATGCACATTAAAATCCTACAGAAAACAAGGCAACGGTGGTATATTAGTTCTCTCCCAGGAAAAAAATAAAATAAAATGAAATGAAATAAAACAAAACAAAACACAAATAAAACCACTTTTTAGCAGGAAAGATAACGCCTAAGAAGTTGATGTGAACAAAATTATATACTTAAAAATAAGATCAAACTACTTAAATTCACTACATTATATGCAAACATATCTTTAGTATTGAACAGTAAAAGGCAAAAATACAAAAAGTGTAGAGAAAGAGATAAAATTTATAAGCACAGGAAATAGATGATGATCAGCAAAAGAGATTATAAAAAAGGTATTTTAAGCAACATATCCAGGATATTCTTTTGTTGTTTTATTCTTAATTTAATTTTAAAGGATACAAATTATGGTAAATTAATATGCCAATGTCCCAATTACAAATAAGTTTCCATTTTTATGATACATTAAACCACAATTGACTTGAATTAGATCACACTGTCATGCTTTAAATTGATATATAATGTAAAAAATGTGTTTTTGGAGGCTGTTCCCTAATATGAATATCAAAACAATAACCACGTTTTACATATTTGCAGTTGTACCTAAAACAACCCAGTTGGGTTGCTCGATTAAAGATAAATAATCAAAAAAATTTGCATCTAAAAAAGCAAACACAATTTTTAGTCATATGATATGAAAATGTTCCATTCTGTGTAACTCCTACTGCCTGTTTTCAAAAAATTCCCTTGTTCTGAGGTCAGTTCAGTGGCTATTAGAACTAGTCATTGGTGTAAATTCCATCTTGTTTATGAAAACATTTTGGACAAAGCAATGATTGTCCAGGGGTTTTGAAAAAAGTTAAAACCTATAAAATGTTGGCATCACTACTATTTGGAGCATGAGGACGACATGCATATAAATCATAGTTTATTGGCACAGATTTTCATATACAGAAAGAAAGCTTTGCTGAATATGGAATAAAGCAATGTACTCTAATTTCTTTTTTTATAAGTTTATTTTTAATGTCATCTGAATTGGAAAAAAATCGGAACCAAACCTTAGGCCTAGTCTACACTGGAAATTGGGGCATAACAAGTCTTTTTGACATGGCTTAACTAATGCAGAGGGGAGAATTACTCTATGAATAGGCAGTTTGGGGAAATCAGGATGGTTGCAAAGTCCCTCGGTGCAAAGCTTGGAAGGGGAGGGGATTTGTGTAGCCAATCTTTGCTCCATGCCATCTCAGCCTTCTCTGTACTAACCCTGGGACAGGAATCTGTTGCTCCATTTTATAGGAAAAAAAATCCTACTATTACCATTTAGGAGAGGTAGCAGTTTACTAAGAGCTTTCACAGGAGGACTCTTTCCCTCCTACACACCATGAAGTGGGTGAACGAGGCCTTTTGCACTGGCGGATCTGCCCCTTAACAGCACAGGATGCTTCTGACTGCATTTGAGCAATCCTTGACTCACAACACCTCTAACAAGGACAAGGACAGCAATTGCCTGATAGTACTTGGCCAAGCATGTGAAGTCACTCTTGTGCCTCATACACCACTGCTTTGCTTCATGAGCAGCTGGTGGAAAGCAAGAAACTTCTCCTCTGCTCCAGCCCAGATGAGATGTCATCTGCCCCAGGTCTACCTTTCTACATCCACACTGAACTGGACTTGGACAGTTGTTTGCTGTTTCCAAAACAGCATCCCTATGGGAAATAAGTATTCAGATCTTTCTGCGGAAAGTAGTGGAGCACTGAATTCTCTTGGGTTTTATGAGTAGTCCAGTCCTAGTAGCAGAAAGATTTTGGAGATTTTGGAGTGAAATAAATCAGCTGCATAAACCATATAGGACCATTCCGGTTTTGAAAATGGAGCACTTCCATACTTGTATTGCTCTAGCTCAACTTAAATGTCGCTGAAGTTACACCAGAGTAAAACAAGAGAAACAGTAGTGAACCTACCCAGGAATCCTCCCAGACAATTCTTTCCTTTTTCTTTTCTAGTAGCAAAATTATCGGCAGCCATCAGGGCTTAATGTTGTAATTAGTCGCCAAGTGCTGCACTGAAGAGCAAATGCTGTAGCAAGCCAAGCAATATTCTGTTAAGCCATTCCACTGGACTGCAAGAGCTTGTGGGTGGGATTTTCCCAAGTGAAAAATACAGCAATGCCACAAGTCTAAGTCACTATTCTTTCTTGGGATTTTAGTAACAGCCATAAAATTTGAGGTTGGCACCTGACTCTTTAGAAACACTAAGCAATTGAAACAATCAAGCCTCAGGTCCACAGCTCTTCTACACATACAATGTGTATTAGAATAGATGTGGTTAAGAGCTTCATGAATGGACCTGAGAATTTTCAAAAAGAGATGCCTAAAATCAGATTTGTAAATCTAACATTTAAATTTTTAAATAGAGTTATGATCATTTTTCAACTTTCTTGAGCTTCTGAAAATTGCAGTTGCTAAGCTTTTGAAAAGTTCAAACCAATTGATGAAGGTCTTTAATCTGGATTAGGGGCAGCATTTAAACCAATTTCTAATTTTATTTTTTTTCTAGGATGGGGACTGTTTTCTTCATCTTTCTTCATAAAAGCCTCTACATTTTTAGCTTTGAATATTTCTGGTATCTTTGGAAAGATCAGCCTGATGAAATCTGAGATAAAGAATTTGAATGAAAGCAGGCCTTTCTACAGCTGGCTGGGCAGTTCTCATAGTCATACTGATCTAGAGGATTTCAGTTTGAAAGCTCATTATTCTGTACTTTATACTGGTTATGTGGCTATTAACAACTTGTGTGTTGTTTTCAGGTTCTGGACGACAGCTGAGACCAGCAGAGCCTGCTGGAGATGCTGATGCTGATGCAGAAGATGAAGATTCTGTAAGTTTGAGGGTTTTTTTTTTTTTGAGGGGTTGGGTACAACTACCTTGTAAAAGCTTGATCTCTAGTATTTTGTTTACAGTTAGGTTTTGTTGGTGACTTCTTTTCTTTGTCAAAAATGTTGTAGCTGTTAGTATTTCTTTCTGTTTGGGAATCTTCCTACCAGAACAATGCTGCAGTGTGATGTAATTTACTCTTTACCATGACTTGCCAGCAGAAGTTCTATACCAAGACCTATCAAACTCTTTATTACATGGCTGTTGACTAAAACAAACAGCGTTCCTTTAAACGTTTAACTGGTTTACCTTGCCCACAGTCTGACTCTAGAAGGAATTATACTGAATGATTGTCAGCAGAAATTCCTTCTGGGACTCTTGACTTTTCCATAGTTTGCCTGGTTATAGAGGGCAATACAATTTGAAGCTACAGGATGCAGGGTTTAGCTGTGTTGATAGAGTAGGGCAGGAAATCATTACAGCCTCTTTCAATCATTATTGACTAATCTTGTCAGCATTTTTAATCTGTTCAACCCATTGCTGCATCCAGTTCATAATGCAAATCAAAGTCATTATACCATAATTTTTGTTTCTCAGGATTCTGTCCCTTGCATTCTTGATCAACTTTCTTAATGGGAAATGAATGTATTGTTGACCCAAGGAAAACGTTATTAGTTATTCTGCATCAGCTATTACTAATGAAGGATTTGTACACAGAAGGAGACTATGCCTAAGTAGAAAAATTCTCCTAAAAACTGGGTCACTTTTTAATGGTGAATGTTCCTTTCCCACCACTCATTTCTTTCCTGCAGGTTAATGAAGTGGCAGTAGAAGATATCCGTCCAAGGCCACAGGGATCCTCTCCGGTTTATGAATATTCCGTAGAAGAAGAATATTTAAAGGCAAGACACTGAGGTTTCGTGCATGCGTGGATTTAATGAGTTGCATGCGTGGATTTAATGTGTTGATTTAAGAGGCTTTAGCTCCTACAAGTAGCTGAGACTCCCATGTCATGTAATAGGATACAGTTGAAGCCATATAACCTCCCCTGCCATATCAGGGCCATGCTCATTGATGGTTTTATGTTGTGTTGGGTTTGTTGTTGGTCATGTTCTTATTTCTTTACAAAAATTCCATTTGACTTCATTCCAGGAGCTGGGACATTGAGTATAACGAAATGACAACAATTTTCCTATTAGAATATTTAATTGTCTTTAGTCTGACTAATACATATTTTGAAATTACCTATATCTCTTGGTTACTCAAAAGCAAATTAGCACAGTTATATTAAGATAAGTAAGTAACTGTAAGTCTAATAAACGAATAACACGTATGTTATTCACAAAGATGAAAGCATGAGAAATGTCCAGCATGCATAACACACAGACAAGCTCCCAGCTTCTTAATACAGTTGGTCTCTGGTGACCATTTCATGCAAATTTTCTGTACAGTATAGGAAGGCCCTGGTACCTAATTTACTACTGGTAATAATACAGCTAAATCATTCCCATTGTACTGAAAATTAGCTTTGTAGATCCCAACCTTGTTCTGTTGCCATTTAAGTCAGCCTCAGTTCTCGGTCTAAACCAGGAATTTTAACTCATGTAGGACTTTTAGGACTTTTGTTATGCTTTACAACAGCACCATTTCTGAACAGTAAATAATTGCAATTTATTTTTCAGCTTCAAGAAGAAAAGAAAAAATATTCTACAGACAAATCAAAACAGAGTCATCCACAGGTTAGTCTAAAAGCACGCAGTAGCTTTTAGGTGTGTTGCTTGCACAGCAGTAAAGTCCATTATGACATGCAGACATGGACGGAGTGAACGGATGGATGGAGAAATGGGAAAAGAAAAACTTCAGATTTGTTTTGGCTAGGAACTTTGTATTACTCAGTTATGACACAGCATTCAGCTGCTCTATTGGGGTCTTTCTGTAATTCTTTTCAGTGCTCTTTGATCTCCTCTGGTTTGAGCACAGTATAGCACTAGCTCTTATTCTGATCTTTCTGGCGCATTGACTCTAATTCAGCTACATTACATCTTCACAGAAAATGAAATCTTTCAGTCCAGAAAGATTCCATATGTTTTACATTTTAACTTTATAACCTAAATCTATCTTTTACTTTCCCTATGGCCCTGATCCAGCATGGCCCTTACACATGTGCTTAATTCTAATTTAGAACAGAGTCAAATCCACACTAACCAAGTACATTCCCCATTTTAGGTGATCTTTCTTGAGCTACTGAAAATATGCCTGAAGAGACTGAAATTTCTATTGTAGAGTTTGATACAAATGGATAAAAATTATAACTTCACACCTTTTTCTACATTTAGGAAACAATGGAAGTGACCCTGAAAACAGAAGTGGAAGCTGGTGCTAGTGGTTTTAGCGTGACTGGTGGAGGAAATGAAGGAATATTTATTAAAAAAGTGCTTAAGGAATCTCCTGCTTCAAAAATATTCAGTATGAGAGAAGGTACAGTCTGATTTTCTGACATCTTTTTCATCTTAAAATAATCAGGAATGCAGCTCTGTGTGCATACAGACATGCACCTGATCTGTCAGTTTGTTAAATAATAGAAAGAGTAGATCCCAAACCAACTAATACTATGTATGAGTTTAACCTTTCTGTATGAATAATTTCTAAGATTTCCATTCTTAAATATTAGTGAAATGTGAATTTTTTGTACACCTTAAAAAATCTGATTTTCACTGGAACAGTGAGAAATATACATAGAAAGTATATATACGTTATTAGAATGCAAAGAAAAAATAATTCATTATTACATCCACGAATACTTTGCCTCTGACTCTTCTTTTAGAAAATATTGTGCCACAAAACTGCAATAAATAAGGATTTAAGCAAGAACAAAACTCCATATTCTAAATACTGAAAAACAGAAGAAGAAACTGTATTACTATGAGGTTGGGCAAACACTGCAAGAGGTTGCCCAGAGAGGCTGTGGAGCCTCCATCTTTGGAGATATTCAAAACTCAACTGGACGCAGTCCTGAGCAACCTGCTCTAACTCACGCTGCTTGGTCAGGGGGGTTGGACTACAAGATCTCCAGAGGTCTCTGCCAACCTCAACCATTCTGTGATTCTGTTTTGTGAATGTCGTTTTATATTTTATATACATGATATATACATTAATTATTTTTATGTTTGCATGAACATTAAGTACAACAGAATTTGAAAAATCTCATGAAAGCACAAACTAATTAAAATGAAATGCTTGATTCTGTTTGCAGGTGATCAGCTTCTAAGTGCTACAATATTTTTTGATAATATCAAGTATGAAGATGCACTCAAGATTCTTCAATATTCAGAGCCATATAGAGTTCAGTTCAGCCTCAAAAGGAAGATTGCTGGGAAAGAGCTAGAACACATTCATTCTACAGCACAGTACAAAAAGGAAAAATTAAGTCAGGTTAGTTATTTAATTAGATTGCAAAGCTTGAATAACACTGTAATAATGTGCTATGTGGAAATCTAGATCAGAAAATACACGCTCATGTTCTTTTAAGACTTAGGCATGCATTTAAATGTACTAACATGAATATCCACAAACAATATTTACAGCATTACGAATATCCTCGGCAAGACTATGGATTTTGCATAAAGCCACAATCTTTATTTAGGGTAGAAAAACTTCCGTCTCTAGTGAGACAGCACTGTTTTTATTGTTAAGTGTCCATTGACAGAATTAGTTCAGATAAACTCAATAATATTTATGTTCAATATTTTTCAAGACATAACATTTCATAAAATATTTTCCTCAAGAGCTCAACAATAAGATTTTTTCTTAAATATATGTGCTTAATCACTGACATCTCTAGAGACAAGCTCATAAGTCTTCATCACTTAAAAATTATTTATTTTTTCTCTATTTTTTCTCTCTTTATATATATCTTTGCACATACATATATTTAGACATATTTATAGAAGCATCTGTTTACTGAAATGTTCTGCAAAGAATGTAGACTTTCAGAAACCCACACACTACAGTCATATAAGTCATATAATAATTTTTGTAACTTCTGCCTGAATTACATATTCAGTTTTCAGGTTGTTTTATGTAAAAAATAGAACATTTAGATTAAAAAAAAAGTTCTATATACTTTACATTATATATTTTATTTTGTATTATGTTTACATTTACTTTTTTTTTAGTCTACTGCCTACTTAATTTCTTCTTGCAGGACAAGGAACTCAGTGAAAGCATTCCTGAAGAAACATTGCACATTTCAGGAAAAACTATTTCAGAAGAAGACAAGGAAACATTAATTGTAAACCAAAGGGTGGGAAGAAGCAAGCGACCTAAAAAAGATAGATTATCATGGCCAAAATTCCAGTCAATTAAAAATAAAAAGATACTGGGGCACCGAAGATCTCACAGTACATCAGATGCATATGAGCCTGCTACACAAGATATTTCCCCAACAAGCACAGACACCGAGTCTCAATTTCAACAAGAAATCAATACCAAAGAAAAAAAAGGAAGCCAAAAGAAACTGAAGTTCCCTAACATTGGATTCAAAATGCACAGATCAAAACCAGAACCAAAAGAGAAACAAACAACAGAAATAAAAACAACACTGTTAACTGAAATAGATAACATACATAAAGAAGATATCATCATGGAAAATCCTGAAATATTAACTGTTGAATATACCACATCATCTGCTTATGAAATGAAAACAGGGGAGGTACATGAAACTTTAACAAAAGACTTGAAAGAAATGAAAAATGGAATTCCAACCCAAACAAAAAAGCGCCCTGAAGTTGAAATAAGCATTAAAAAACAAGAAGACCAGGAATCAACACTGAAGTTTACTGTACCAGAAGTACCAGCTATATCAACACAGATATCAAAACCCAGCTTAGAAACACCTGATCTGAAAGAGAGCCCAGCTAAACAAACACCACAGGCCACATCAAAATCCCGAAAAAAGAAACTGAAAGGAATAACGCACAAAATAGAAGGTGAAAGTGGAATTAACATAGAAATAATGGATCACCCAGCACAAGAATCCATAGAAATAAAAGGTCTAGAAATAGGCACTGCTAAAGCAGAATTACACACAACAGCTGACGCCCTGGAAACAAGAGAAAAGCAGGCAGAAGATAACACACAAATATTAACAATTCAGAAAACAAAATTTAGGACTTCAATGCCCAAAAGAGAAGAACCAGAAACTGAAAGCACCTTAACCAAATCAGGAAGCGATGTTCCATTTTCAGTACCAGAAACAACAGATGACACAAGTAAGGAAGGAGGCAGAAAGCTGGATGTGAAAACTGATGTGCCTGATGCAGAATCAGAAGCATCTACATGGAAAATAAAAATGCCATCATTCAAAATGGCCAAAATACCTAAAGATGACATAAAACTACCCAGAGAAGAGAGGATAGTCCAGTCAGTAGATACTGTAAAAAAGGCACAGGCAGAAGAAGATGATGAGCTCACAACTGATGAACACTGGAAGACAGACATTGATATGAAGGCAAAAGAAAAAGATACAGAAGGAAAAGAAAGCAAATTCAGACTGCCAAAGTTCAAATTACCAACATTTAGCTGGGCAACGTTAAAGGATGAAACAGGGGAAATCGAGGGTCAGGTGAGCCATGGGGAAACAAAAGTGCATTACATAGAAGCAAGTGAAAGAACAGACATTAGCATAACAATAGGAGAGATGCAGGCTCCGAGTGTTGAAACTGAAAAAAGGATAACTGAAGAAAATATGAGTGACAAAAATGTAAGACAACTACCAGAAGTCCAAATGCCAAGTTTGAAAATGATACAAATAAAAACTATATCCACAGAGAATCAGTGGGCAATAGAAGAAGAAAAAGCAAAGCCACCCAAACCAGATACTGAAAAGAGAGAGGGTGAATTATCTGTACCATCCAAGGAAAGAGAAGATATCTCTGAAACTATATCAAGTAAAGAAGAAGAGACAGGAATAAAATTTCAAAAGAAAAAGATCAAAATGCCAAAAATGGCTTTTTTTAAACATGAAGTAAAGGTACAAAAGGAAGAGCCAGATATTACAAAATATAAACTAGATATAACCTTGCCTAGCACAGAAATGAAACAAAAGGAGATACAGCTCAAGGCCAGCGCAGGCGATGTCAGCCTCTCGGCCCCCGACGTGCAGCTGCCCTCGCTCGAAGGCTCCCTCAGCCTCCAGGGCCCCGAGGTAGACCTGAAAGCGCCCTCCGCCGAAGGCGCGCTGGACGGAGCCGAGGTGGAAGCCGCCGGCCTGAAAGGGAAGATTAAGATGCCCAAGTTCGACAAGCCCAAATTTGGAGTGTCGCCCCCGAAGGCCCAAGGGCCCGAGGCCGAGGTCAGCCTGCCCACCGCAGAGGTCGGCCTCCCCGCCGCCACCGTGAGCGCCGCAGGGCTCGAAGGCCCCGCACTGGGCCTCAAAGCCGACGTCCCCGGTGCCAAAACCGAGGGGGCTGGCTGGAAGGTGGAAATGCCCTCCCTCAAAATGCCCAAAGCTGACATCAAAGCTCCCAAGGTGGACATCGGCCTGCCCTCCGTCGACATCACCCTCCCAAAGGCCAGCGTCGACCTGCAGGCGCCCGAGGCAGCCCTCACCCTCGAAGGGGAAGCAAAAGCCCCGGAGAAGGAGGCCTCGAAGGCGAAGGACAGCAAGTTCAAAATGCCCAAGTTCGGCATGCCTTCCTTGGGCTGGTCCAGCAGCAGAGAGGCCAAGGGCTCTGTCGCCGCCGACGTGGACGTGAGCCTCAAGGAGCCCCAAGTGACGGTGCCCTCGGGAACCGCCGAAGCCGAGGTGACCCTGCCCGGGGCTGAGATCCAGGCTCCCGGCGCCGAGCTGACCATCGAGGCCGCCGCCGGAGGAGACGCGGAGAAAGGCAGATTCAAAATGCCCGACGTCAAGATGCCCAGCGTCAAACTGCCCAAAGTCAAGGCTCCCCACGTGCAGGTCAGCCTGCCGAAGGCCGAGGTCTCGCTGCCCAAAGCCCAGGCTGAAATCCCGGAGGCTGAGCTC